AGAATACTAGAAAACAAAAATGTGCCAGCAAAACGTGTTTGTCAAGATGTACAGGTGCTCCTGTGGTCATCAGGGCAGGCAGCAAGAAGGGAGGGCAGCAGAGCACCCCAGAGCAGTTCCCAGCTGTGGGCTCAGCTGGGCAAAGCACATCCACTGCAGCTGGGCCATTGGCTGAGCTCTGGGCTGTAGCTGTGATATTTTCTGGAAAATCCTTTTGCCTGGATTTTTTTTCTCCTGAGGAGCTGAGGAGCCTCAGGGAAGAAATGTAAGCAATATCTATCTGCTGCTGTGGAATGCAGCAGGTGCAGCTGGGAGTGGTGCAGGTTGGTTTTTTCTCATTAATGGCCAATCACACTCAGCTGGCTTGGACTCTGAGAGTCAGGAGCTTCTGTTATCATTCCATTCCTGTCCTTTCCAGCCTTCTGATGGATCCTTTTCTCTCTATTCTTTTAGTGTAGTTTTAGTATATCATTTTAATATAATGTATATCATAATATAATAAACCAGCCTTCTGAAACACGGAGTCAAGATTCCCGTCTCTTCCCACGTCCCGGGAGCCTCCGTTGGTTCAACCCCACTGGGGGAGTTTCTGCAGCCCCCAGTTCCTCCAGCAGCTGGCACCTGCTGAAACATCACCCTCAGCTTCCATTTAGAAGCCTTTTTGTCAGTATTGCTGCCTGGCAGAGCCCAGGAAGGGGCCAGCTGGGTTCAGTGGGGTGGGCAGTGCCACCCTGGCGCCGCAGTCCCAGCCCTGGAAGGTTTTTCTCTTTGCTCTGCTGGGGCTGCCCAGGTCCCAAAGCACAGGAGGAGCTTGTTCTGCATCCTTGCAGTGGCTGCTTTGCGTGGGCTGAAGAAATTGTGCTGCCTGGGGCACTCTGTGTGGAATGAACCCCCTGGTGACATGAAAGGCTTTTCCAGGGGTGATTTCTGTTCTCTAATGCTGTAATCAAGCTGGTGCACCACTGCTCCTGGAGCCACAGGATGCTGGGGTTTTGTTGCTGTTTCTTTGGTCACCTCTGTAGATTCTTATCAAGTTATTCTCTTGGGCATTCCCTGTTGAAGAGCTCCTGGCTCTGTGAAGTTGCACACGCTCATCCAATTATTTCAATGATTTTATTATTCCAAATCTTCTGCATGTCAGGTCTCTACAGCAGTGCAAGGAGCAAGAATATTGTTCTATGGAAGAAGAAAGTTATTTTGTCTTTGTTATTGCATTAAAAGTGGCCCAAATCTGCTGATTTGGGTGTAAGCCCTGGGCCCTGCAGGAGCACACGCATTTCTGAAACTCCTAAAAACACACCTGAGTCTGGGTCTCCAGACCAGAGGGAATAGAGCTGGTGTCAAACCCAAATTCACACAAATGGGGCTTGTAGTTAACACATCAGTTCAGCACTGAGAATCCTTTTGCAGTCCTCTTTGACACCTGGAGTGAATCTGGCTCTTTGCTGAGGCAAATCAAAGGAAATTGCCAAATGTTATTTTTTTTTTTTTTTTTTTTTTTGCATGTCTCCACACATTTGCTCCTTTTTAAATGCTTGGGGCCAACTTGAAGAAGAAACAATGAGGAAGAAAATTACTTGTTCCAGATGAAACTCCTGTCCTTGTGTACAATGAAAGACATCTAAAAGACAAATAATGATTGTGTATTTTATTTCTGCTGACAGAAATGTTGGAAATAAGTTTTTTAGTTTTCAAACTTCTGGCAATTTCTGTCTTAGTTTTTTATTTGTGTCTATAAATTGCTGTGGGTGGTATAAAAAAGACAAATGGAGGAGGTAGCTGGTACTGTGTGAAGAACTGCAGCAAGAACTGTAGGGAAAGACTGAAATTTCTATTGAATTTTATTTTTTCAGTTTTAATCAGGGCTCCCTGAAAATGCATTTCTTTGTCCAGTTCCCACGTAACCACCTGAAGACTTTGATTAAGATGCACTGCTGAGATCAGACCTTGCATGAATTTTACTTGGAGGAGTTAAAAATCTCATCAGTCTGTCCTGCAGCTTCCTTAATAATGTGTTTTATGTTGTACATTCTGGCATCCCAAAACCAGGCTGGCTTTTGGCAGTTGCAGTAATTAGCAGGTAGAGCAGCTCACTCAGCAAAAAAGTGGAAGGCTGCATAAACATTCATGAAGTATTGAAGGATTTTTGTCTTTTTTAATAAAGTCTGCCAACTCTTACTTTTAATGAAGATCGAAGAATATTGTAATTTTTCTACACATTAAGTATTCTAAGATATTAACTAGTTCTGGGTCTGCAGTCACTGGCATTAAGTGTTTCAGACCAACTTGATGTGTATTAATTTAGACAAAGTGTATTCACAGACCTTTGATTTTGAAGGTAAATTTAATACAGAGCCAACAACAAATCAATGAATAAGCATGGGTAGGATAAGAAGCACAAAGAAAAACAATTATGTTGTAGAGTTCAGAGAAAATTCTGGCTTTGGATGTGAGTGGGAATTGAGAAAAGCTAATTTGCTTATTTGTTTTGCAGGAGCTCAGTTGTTTAAGGCTTTTAGATGGAATGTAATTAAAAGTGGGATTTCAGAGTCTTGTGCTGGTTCCTGCACTTGCTCTGCTCCCTTTGCTCCTGCCCTGGAGAGCTCTGGGTGTTGTGTGGTGTGTGTAGAATGGTTTCAATTAGTGGATGTATCATTTAATGGTATTAAGTAGTTACTCTACTGATCAGTTTGTAGAAGTTTGAACCAGGTTCTGTTTTAGGTCTAGATTGAGTCTAATAAATCTGAATGGAGCAGAGAACCAGGACAGAACAGCTTATTCATTAATAGGCTGCTTTTAACTTGAGCATTTGAGAGCCTGAATGTGCATCTAACCTCCCACACTTCGTGTGAGTCAGAAGTTTTATACCATAATGTATTTTTTTTTTTTTTTTGCATAAAGTAATGATCTTCCCTTTCCCACATGGGGAAATTTATATGAGTTTGGAGTCTGAGAGATGTGGATGAAATGTCCACCTACCTACTGAGCCTAACCTATATTTTAGTTTTGGGTTATAACACAGATATGGGAACAGAAAGAGGCATTCATCAGTAGTTTTGTAACCTTTCAGTTCTTTGACCTCTATTTCTCATGCTGCTGAATGCTGCTGTCAACTGTTATTAACAGCCTGAAATGCAAAGGAATGTAAAGACTCAAATATATAAAAAGAAGTAATTTTTCCACCCAGATTTCCATAATGCACCATAAAGTCCATCAATTTAAAGGCTGCGAGTTAGCTTGGATATAAAAAAAGCAAAATAAAAAATTGAGCAGGAGTAAAATTCAGCTGTTAAGAAATGTTACACCACTGACTTCCACTTCATGATTATCCCCTCTTCATTCTCTCCTTATGTCACCTGAAGACCATCCATTGATTGTAAAGATAATTTTTCCACAGATCTCGTGAGTCATGATGTCGGGAGGCACCATATAAAATATTTTCTCTGTACTGCAACATTGAACTTTCTGCTGTTCAGTGCCATCAGATGCATTGATCAAATTGACCCATTTCCACTTCAGAAAAGCCTTCAGCCATCTCGGCAGCGAGGCAGAGCCACCACTCAGCAGCAGCTGCCTGTGCATGCTGAGGGTCCTGTAGGAGTGTGACCCTCATGACACAGTGGCAAAACTAGCCTTTGTCCCCCAAAAAAGGAAAGAAGCCCAGAAGTTTCTCTCAACAATTAGGTGAAATGCCACCTCATAGGACCTCAGGGACTTCACCAAACACTAGAGAGCATCTAATTGGATAGAAGGCAAAAAGTCCTGCCTCAACCATCAGGTAGAAAAAGGAGAGAACAAAAGAGCAAAAGGCTTTTGTGAGGTGTTTTTACCAGGAGCAGACCTCTGCATCTGGCTCGAGTTTTTCTGTTTGTTATTTTGCCTCTTATTAAACCTTTTTTGTTTCTAACACTGCAGCAGAAGTCATCCTGCTTATTTTATGCTCTCAAAGTAATAGCTGAGCTATCCTTGGGTGTATTATATTTCTTTTGAGGGCTTATGAGACCTGGCCCAAGAAAAAGAAACTTAATAGGGTGGCATCAGTAATGCACAGGGTAACACCTCCGAGCTGAAAGGACACTAGGGTTGGCATCTCCAAGGTGAAAGAACAGTAGGGTTGGCATCAGTAATGCACAGGGTAACACCTCCAAGCTGAAAGGACACTAGGGTTGGCATCAGTAGTGCACAGGGTAACACTCCAAGGCGAAAGGACAGCAGGGTTGGCATCAGTAATGCACAGGGTAACATCTCCAAGGCGAAAGAACAGTAGAGTTGGCATCTCCAGGGTGAAAGGACACTAGGGTTGGCTTCAGTAATCCACAGGGTAACACCTCCAAGGTGAAAGGACACTAGGGTTGGCATCAGTAATGCACAGGGTAACACCTCCAAGCTGAAAGAACACTAGGGTTGGCATCTCCAAGGTGAAAGAACAGTAGGGTTGGCATCAGTAATGCACAGGGTAACACCTCCAAGCTGAAAGGACACTAGGGTTGGCATCAGTAGTGCACAGGGTAACACTCCAAGGCGAAAGGACAGCAGGGTTGGCATCAGTAATGCACAGGGTAACATCTCCAAGGCGAAAGAACAGTAGAGTTGGCATCTCCAGGGTGAAAGGACACTAGGGTTGGCTTCAGTAATCCACAGGGTAACACCTCCAAGGTGAAAGGACACTAGGGTTGGCATCAATAATGCACAGGGTAACACCTTAAAGCTGAAAGAACAGTAGGGTTGGCATCTCCAAGGTGAAAGGACACTAGGGTTGGCATCAATAATGCACAGGGTAACACCTTAAAGCTGAAAGAACAGTCGGGTTGGCATCACTTTGGCCTGATGGGCATCACCCCACAGCAGAGAGTGCCCCTGCCCTGCCAGCAGCCTTGCTCTGGGATGTGCCCACCTCTTACCGGCAGCATTACGGAAACGGGACAACTCTTGGCTCTTAATTCCTTCTAAAGCCTGCTTGCAGCTGTACTGATGGAATTTTCTTCTGCTGCTCCCCACAGAGGGTGACGAGACAGGGGTGATGGACAGTCTGCTGGAGGCCCTGCAGTCGGGAGCAGCTTTCAGGGACCGCAGGAAACGAACGCCGCGAGCGCAAGGTAAGAGAATTTCTGCAAAGTTTGGGCTGTGAACAGAGCAGGCTGAAGCTGTTTGGCAAAGATTTGCCAAATCTTTGCAGTTTTCAGCAGTTTTCACTGGACACCGTGGGCTGCTGTTGGGCAGTGAGCTCCTGTGAAAGCCCAGCACAGTCTCAGATTTTTAACCTGAGGCTGGGTCTCCGGGTTACTGTGTGCTCCAAGGGCTCCTGTTGGCTTTGAAATGACAATTAAACATCCCTGCACTAAGTGTGCTTGATTCTTACAGCTGTAAGTATAATTAATTCATTGTAGGTGGTGCCATGAGGAGTATTGGCTTCTTAACAAATAAGATTTGAGTGTTCAGCTGATCATCATTTCCAAGCACTGCTCTTGGGTGTGTTCTGCTCTGGTGGGAACTTCCAGTATTTGGAGTCTTAAAAGTAAAAATGCATTAAGATAGCTTCGTTTTCCTGAGGAAGACAATGGTATTGGACTGAACTTTGCCCACTTTACTGAGCAATTGCTTCTTCCTGCAAAGCTGATTTTGAGATGATTTTGAGACAATTTGAGTAGAGGATCAGTGGGAGCGTTTCCTTCGTTCACTTCTCTGCTTATGATATTCCAGTGGCACACACTTTGAGAAATGCATTTACTCTGCTTTCACTTTTCATCAAAGCTCATGGTAACTGTGTTTTCCAATTTTTCGTTTGAAACATGTCTTATAGTAAAAAATGCAGTCTTAAAAATCTACAGTTGAAGTTATTTGGCATAAAATGAAAAGCTTGGTTTGGATATGTTTGGCAAAAGAGAGTCATAAATAAGCCATGTTAATCCACCTGATCCTCACTGAGCTGGGGTTAGGTTCATTTGGCTGATGGATTTTTTTTAGAGGAACAGAAGAGTAAAGGCAAATTCTATTACCCTCTTTAGTAGCAAAGGTAGTGCATAATTATTTTTAATTTGCCATGTGCGTGATCTTATGAAAAAAACCAAGTAAGTGACTGAAAAAAACCAAATAAGTGACTTGATTTGTTCATACTCTGAAGTCAATTCTGCTACAGTTCCAGGAAAATTCTTAATTCAGGGCTTGTTTCTGCTCTCAGATCAGACGTGAAGGAACTCCTCGATCAAAACTTGGTTTTTCCCCTATCTTGAGAAGTATCATTTTGAGGGATGGTTTCTCTCTATTGTGGCTAGAGGAGACATTTGTCACCAAGTGGTGACAAAGCAAAGCTTCCCAGGGACCAGAGGAGAGTGCACAAATCTGCTGCAGCTGAGAAAACAGAAGATGATTGAACCTGGGGCAAACCCAGGGATTCCTCAGCAAAAACAGGGGACAGAGCTAATTAAAAATGCCTCTGACTGATCTTCTGCTTTATGTAGTTACTTTGACTTCTGTGTTTGGAATTTCATTGAGTCAGGGGATATTCCAGTGGGGCCTGGCTTTAAATTTAAGGAGCTGATTGGTTTTGGAGAATTCACTGTGAGAAAAGGGCTGGGTCCTCCAGTCCAAACTCTGGCCAAATGTAAGTGTTCTGTGAGAGAGGGAGGCCATAAAGTAAAATTTTCAGAGGTAGTTAAGACTTGAGAATAGGATGCAATAAATGTTGTTCCTGGTCAAATATCTCATTGAAACTTTCATGTAAATTTTCTCATGTGGTTTAGAAACATATGTGACATCTTGTGACTAACTTGTCTACACACCAAAAGGTGCCTAAAAATGTGGCTGTGACATTTCTGAGCAGTGAAATACAGCATGAAAATCCTGGCACCACATTTACAACCTTCCACACCTCCCCTTCAAAAAAGGAGCAATGATAGTTCCCTCCTTGGTGCCACTCTGTCCTGCAGAGTTCCATCCACTGGGATTGGAATAAACAATTAATTCCATGCCTCCTCTGGTCCAGTGGAAGCGGGGAAAAAAGGAAATAAAAGTCCTGGAAAGAAGAGTTTGGGGGATTTCTGGGCTTGCTGGGTTCTGTGATTGTGATTGGCAAATGGAATAATTCTGTCTGTGGGCAGGGGTTTCTGAGCAGTGTTAGAGCTGAACTCTGGAGTCAGCCTGGGTTTGGAGTTTTCGTGGGGAAAAATAAATAAAGGTGTTGCTGTTTCAAAGTTAGACTTGTCCAGCAAAGTTTTGGATTTGAACTTATCTTGGTTGCACGTTATGGTTTGAGAGGAAAATCCATTAATAGTTTTCTGCCTGTTTTGGACACAGATTCTCATTTTTCTGTGCCAGCTGTGGTTGTAGTTTAGCAAGGAGAAAAAACAACTTCTGCTTGTTTATTTTTTGTAGTTTTGCTAATTTGCCCCTACAGAAAGGCAAAAAAACTCCTGTCCAAACCCCTAAAAAACCCACAAAGAAAATGCCCCCAAAACCACTCAGCACTTACAGTGGGTTCACTTTTGTACACTTTCCATGTATGTGCTCTAGATCTGTCTTTTTCCAAATTTGTTTATTCTGTTTGCATCTTCTCGTGGTGAGAATGAAAACTGGAGAGGCTTCACACCCTCACAGTGGCTGCAATCAGAAGATGATGGAAATTTAGCTTTTGGTGTGTTTTATTCCAGTGGTTTCCTGCAGGAAATTTAACTCAGAAGGAGCAATCTGCAGTTTCACTTGTACTGGCATTTTGATCAGCTTGGCTCAAACTACACAACTTTGCAAAAAAAAAAAAAAGGCCAAAAAACCCTTTGTGTGTTCCCTGTGGCTTTAGGTGAGTGGGCTGCACCTGGGAGGGATTAATTAATTTGGATAACAGAGCTCCAGTTATTCCACCAGCCCAAAGGAGTGGCATTCCACCTCTTGAGTTTGCCTTTTTTACAGGGGCTGCTGCTGTCCCTTGCAGGACATTTGTGCTTACATGGTCATGCCTTTCAAATCATTTCTTTTAAACTAATTTCCAGTCAGATTCAGCCTGGGTAAGAGGTGCAGAAGGGGAAGAGAGGGATCGCTCAACATTGCAGTACTCCTGCTGGGGAAAAATCAAATGGTGAAATGTACAGACAGGCTCGGAACAATAAAACCCATTTCAAATATGTTTCACTGCATTATGTTTGTTTGCTAAGCCTGGAAATGAAAAGCTACACTTTAATGGGTTGCATTACAACCCCAGACTTTTCCAGTAAAAATGGTTTTGTTAGCAGGTCATGGAAGTAATAATAATAAATTTCTGCCCCCCTCCTCTAGTTTTATATTTCCCTCTTTTGTGTTCTTTCTTCTGCAGACTTCTCAATGTGCAAAAACATTGTGTGGTTCCTCTCTCCTGAGCTCAGTGCTCCACTTTATTGTTTCTAGCCACTGGATTTTAGGGAGAGAGATTGTCCTTTCAGTGGATTGCTTTGCTTAGGGAGCCTACAAAATAATAATTAGAAATCAGTTTCTAGAAATGTTGGTTCCTCTTCCAAAAATACACTTGCATTTTGCACGTTTGCCAATATTGGGTTAATAAAGAACAGTTTTAGGTGGCATTTATCACAGGGTGCCATTAAAATCTGCATCCAGCACTGCTGCTGCACAATAATCCTTGCCCTTTATCCTTGCCCTGGGCTATAAAATCATTAAAACACCAATTCAGGAATAATTTTTTTCTCTAAATTAGCTTAAGCAAATTTCTGCACAGAGCTAACTATTCTGCTAGGTTCTTTTTATTAAGTTTCTAAGTTTTTTTGGCATGGCCCTGAATTTCTTTTAGGAATGTTAATAACCAGTGCCCTCTCCCACGTTTGCAAACTCTGGCAGCCTCCCTGGTGGCCTGGGCCAAATTTCAGTGGCTGTCCCTGCTGGGGATGCAGTGCTGCCAGGGACATGCATGAAGTTCTCCTGCTTTAGATCTGTCTCAGTGTCTTTCTTGGGCAGTTCCTCTGCTCTCTTAGCACACATTCTGGATTTGTTTCTAATTCCTGCATCAAAATCAGACCAGCTGCTGCCCTGCCATTATTTCCATGCTAAGAGCACACCTTGAGAGGGAAAGGGAGAGCCTGAACCTTCAGCATCTGGTTTGTGTCTTTGGTGGGAGCCACCTGAAGGGCTTCCACTCCTCGTTTAACCTTGGCAAGAGGAAAAAGGAGCTGTGGTAATAGAATGTTCCTATTTTTTTTAATGATTTTTGGTAATTTTCATATGGCATTCAGACATTTTAATTGAAAGTGTGGGTTTGTTTAAGTAGGTGGGTATTTTTCATTGCATCAGAATTCTAATAAAAGGTTATTGTTTTAGGAATCTTGTGTCTTCTGCTTGGAGATAACAGTTGTGCTTAAAGACTCACTTTTGCTTGTCTAACTTGCTAAACTAATTTTATCTTTGCACTGATTGTATTAAATAAAATCTGGAGGGTTAGTTGGGTTTCTGGGTGCACAGTCCTCATTTACCTGAACCACATTGAAATAAAAACCTTCAGTCAAAGCAAATTTGCTTTCCTGAAAGCATTGTCAGACATTCTGGATGTGACAGTTGTCTAAATAAGCTGGGTTTTGATACGCTTGCATCTGTGAATTGGTGAGAATATCATAAATGTTAAAATGCAAGGAGGTGGGAGGTGCACTGAATTTGTGCTCAATAAAATCTCTTTCAGAGGAACAGATCCTTAACATTAAATACCTGTTATCAAGTTGGAAATACCCATTATGGACTAGAAAAATTTAGTCCTGAGTTTAAAAATCAGTGTGTGTTTTAAACTTCTTCATCTTTTCAAACATTTTAGCTTTTAGGAGCTGAGTATTTAAAGGCATGTTTGCTATGCAGTTGTGTAGTGGAGGATTTTTGCTTACAGTCAGGTGTTGTGGACTCATGGGACTCACACAAGATCCAAGTGCTTCAAAATTACCACATCTGTAATAGCAAGAGCTAAACAAGATCACCAATAATAAATTTACTCATTTTGCTATCATGGCACTATTGTAGATTTAAGTTTGCTTTTTATTTCTAAATATAAATATGGGCACCATTCAAATGGAATCTCAGCAAATTACCTGAGTCCTGAGAGCTCCATAAACAGTCCCAAAGCTGTTTAAAAATAGGT